GAACTTTTAAAAGGCATTTGCTAGTTCATACTGGTGTGCGTCCTTATGTTTGCAATGTTTGTCAGAAATCCTTTGCACAAAAGCAAAATTTACTGTGTCATATGTTTATACATTATGGAAAAGTTATTCCTTGAACTATATGAGACAAAGTAAATTTTACTTTTTCTTTTCCCTTTCATTATTTAGTAGTATGCTATGACTTTTTTAATCTCTTATTTAATATTTTTTGTCTTTGTTATAAATATTTCATAAAGTTTTCATCTTAGTAGTTTAACTTTCTCCATTTAAAAAAAGTTATTTAGTCTTATTTATAGTTTGTAAATGTCATTATCAATTGTCTCTTTTTCTTTTACTTTGTTTCCTCTGACAATATCTAAATTTATATTATATATACAATATTTTTGTGTAATTATATTTATAATGAAATATTTAGAACCTTAATAATTTTATGTTCCTTCATTTATATGCATTTCCTTTGTGTGTATTTATGTTATGAAAATCAATTGTTATTAAAAGCAATGTTCAAATTCTTGACGACATATACGATAGCATACACTGTGTATACTTAGGCATAATTGATAATGTGCAATACTCTGATAACATTATAAAACTACAGATGAACCTGTTCTTAACAATTTATTAAATGTACTTATGCGAAAATTAAAGGCAGTAAATTAAATCAGTGTTTATTAATCACAAAATGTCATCTTATTAATGTTGTCTTGAACAGCTGCTTAGACATACTTAATATAGTACCATATTGTTAGAATTAATGGTCAAGAATCTGAGTATTCCTTCTGGTGAGAATTTAGTCCTTTGATTCCGGATAAAAATGATAGAGAATTCTTTAAGTATTTAGAAAAAGTTTATATTTAGCGTAAATTTTAAAAGAGAAAATTTCTCATATGCTATTTCAGAAAAAAATCTTATCTAAAAAGTAATGAAAAATTACTCTTGATTATATATATATATATATATATATAGATATATATATATATATATATATAACAAGAATTTAGAAATTTCAAAATTAAGGTTATTAAAATTATGCAGCATGCTGCAAAATGAATGAAAATCATTGACGAAAATTTACATTCGATGTTAAGGATTGCTTCATAAAAGTTGGAATCTAACTTGAATGAAATAATTGCAACATCTGAGATTTCATGTCTCACATTAAATAACATATTAATTAATAACTGTTTTTCGATATACTATTTGTAACAGACATAAAAATGTATGCGAAGCTATCAGTTTATAAAATTATTTGATTAATCCATCAGTGCCTATTTTTTTGCTTCGTATCCTTCGAGATTTATGTGTACATTATATAGTTCATTAAATGACTGATTGTAACCCACTGTTCGCCGTCTGGGATTTATTTATATTAAAAATATTAAGTGCATAAAATGCTATTTTAATTCATAGTATTTTTACTTTCTTGTACGAAATAAAGGAAATATTGTAATCGCGAAAAATTTTGGGTATCGTATTTCAACGAAAATATCCATTTTGACCGCTCTTGAATCTGCTTGGATGATGTTTTTTGCCTGACATCAGTACATACGGACAAAATAAAGATCTCTTTTTTTCCAAAACGGTTTGTGAAATGAATTTTAAATGAATTCAGAAGATATTTTTTGTGACTTTTGTGCGTATGTATCATAACTCAAAAAACGAGTAGCCTCAGAACGTTGAAATTCTTTATTTGGGACTGCTATAATATGTAGCTGTGCACCTCCCGTTTTCTTTGCAATCGGTTGAACTAAACATATACAGTCAAAAGTCTTTAATCCGGACTCGTTGGGACTTCGGCGATTCCGGATTATCGATTTTTCCGGATTATAGATCATCAGTTTAAATCTGGTAAGATGGCATGCAGAAATTATAAAATTAAAATATGAAAACCGTAATTTATAAAATAATGAGCAATTATGATCTAAAGGGTATCAAAATTTACCAAAAAAGAAGCCTAATATTTATTTGTTTACTTTATTAAACATTTCTTTCAACGCGCGGATGCGTAAAGCATACCTTATGCATAGCCGAAATTAGAAAATTGCAACCAGAAAACTATTTGATTTGTATTCGTGGTATTTATAATGACGAGGAATTTGATTTAAATCATATCAAAGACGGAGTACATCGAAATTAAATACTACATTTAGTAAAGAATTATAAGCCGAATAAAATAAAAACATCTGCTCTGAAGATAACGATAGTGTTGACAAATCAACTTCCAGTTCACTGCGCGCCGCGACGTCTTCCCCCCCCCCCCGCGCAGAGCAGCGTGAAATTGATAAACAGATTTCGGAACGGTTAGATAAACAAAGAATATGCCTTTATCCATTTTTTGTAGCAATTTGTTTTTTGTTTGATGGACATCGAAACATACTTTCGTTTTCTAGATCCTTTGGAAGCTTCAGCATCGGAAATTCTATTTGACATAATCAAAACTTCAAGCTTACTTTTAGAAAATTGCTCTTACAGTCTGCAAAAAATAATAAGCCGGATCCAATTCGAAGATTAAGGAACAACGCAATCATCAACATTAACTGAAATAGATAATTAGATAATTTTAGCTTATAGCGTCTATTGTACATTAAACGCGCACGCGAAAACGTATTCTGCACTTGCGCAGATGCATATGCGCAGTCGTAAATGTCTTGGGCGCACGAGTAAAACGCCTATGCGCAAGCGTCAATGCGGCGCATGCGCAGAAAGATTTTAGCTTTGAGGTCCGGATTATAGATTATTCCGGATTATGGGTGTCCGAATTAACGACTTTTGACTGTATAAATATATATCTAAAGGCATAAAGAAACTGAATTGCATTTGAATTTAGTAATTTCACATACGCTTTCAATTCTTTACATTAGCTCTCTTTGTTTAAAGGTAAATTTTGATTTGAATTTTCCACTAAAGTATTTTATTATTTCAATTTCGTTTTCAATTCTATGGATTGAGTACTTTTTGTTTAAAAGTAGAAGTATGTTTAGAATTTACTTTGTTTTTTACCTTTCTTTGGAGAGGGGCCAGAATTTTCGGATGAATTGTTATAATTAAAATACATTGGAATGGTTCATCGGCTAATTCTGGATACAGAAAAGCAAGGATTTTTTGTGGCAGAGAGATTTCTGATGTGTTCCTTCTCCTGAAATCAAATTTATCAAATGACCTTCGCCTTACATTCCTTCTCCTGTCGGAGTAGCAATGAGGTTGATTGAATTTCACTTCTGTTATGTTCTTTTTTCTTTAAATTTCATTTTATTAAAATTACCGTATTACTTGTTTAAAAAATTTTTTTAAATTAAAATTTGATTAAATTCTTTTTTCCATTTATAGGATTTATGAAATTTATTACTTATTAATTTCAAATTTTGGTCTTTGTAAAATTGATCCTAAATTTCTTACATTATATATTTACTGATATTTTTCAGCAGCTTAGTATGTGAAAATACTAGGTATGATTATATTAAGTTTCTAAAAAATTGTAATTATAAATATATATGTATATATACACTGCCACTCTGTTACAGATCATCGGCTTGATGAGCTCAGTTTTCCTTGTATGAAGTAAATGAAGTATTGTAATCACAGAAAACTCCTGGTACCATATTTCAACGAAAATATCCATTTTGACCGCTATCAAATGCAATTTTACTATGTTTTTGTGTGACATCTGTACGTAAGGACATAACAAAACACTCTTTTTCCCCAAATCAATTATAAAACTCATTTAAAATGGATTCAGCAGATATTTTTTCGTGGCCCATCAGATATATTCAATTCTACCAGGGAGGATGGGGTTGGCACTTCAAAAGATCGTCACATAAGTGCTATTATACCACTTGCGAGTCTGGTACATGATGTGCTGAAAAGACCTTTTTTGCGCAGTGCTAAAAGTATTTGCTCATCCTTGATATATGTAATAATTATTATTTCTATTGAAAATACAAGCATGCAATAAGTTGTAACATATAGCCCTTCTTTTGTGGGAAAAAAGTCGAATGAGAATAATTTAAAAAAGAATATGTAAAAATTGTTTATATTATGTAACTAACAATTTTTGTTAGTATTATGTAAAAATTTTTAGTTTTATATTTTGTACTGCATGATCCAACTGATATTTGATTGCCTTAGAATATGCCATTGTAAGTTTATGCTAACAAATAACCAAGTAAATTTGTTAATTGTGTATGATCCAAATATTCTTCATTCTATGTATGTATGCATTTTCAAAAAAATATCATTTGTCTTTTGTATTGTCTGGAGAAGAAAGATGTTAATTTATACCTCTTCTCAGTCACTATTTACGCATATGCTTTAAGTTACCAATATGTCCTCAGATGTTGCTCAGCTTCCTTGCATAACATTATTGTGTGTTTAAGTTATGTTATTATTATTATTATCATTGTTATTATTATTATTATTATTAATTTCTTATTTTTATTTTCTGCATTGTATTATATTTAATATCTTTTCAAATATCCATACAGTTATCAAGAGTAGACATACACTGTGTATTAAGTGAATGCTGTGTATGTGCTTGGATCATTTGCTGTGTATGTGCTTGGGTATGTGCATCTTCTTGAATGTGCTTGGACATTTCAGCAAACTGAAATACTGATTTTGCCATATTTTTTATCTGATATTTTCCTATGATTTCATTGTTATTAATTTTCTAATATAGTTTTATAAAGAATCAGTAATTTAATCATATATTTTGCATTTATTATAATTTTCTTGCTATCATGACATCTTTCTTTTAAGTTGAGGGTATTTGTTTATGTACGAATTGTTATTTGTGATACTTTTACAGCATTTTAAGCATATTTAGCTTGTATTTCCTTAACTAAACTGTCATTTCAGATAAAAAAAGTTTTTCTGTTGTTATTTGCTAATATTGCTTTCCTTTAAATGAAACCCTGCTATAGCTAAAAAATTATTTTCTGATAATTAATTAATAAAAGCTTTTTTATCATTACTTGCAAGCATTGTTTTCCTTTAAATGAAATCTTAAGAAATCTTCTATTGCCCACCCCACATACATGCACATTAAATGTTGTTTTTGCGTGTAGGATAAGATTTTGAAAAACAATTAACTGCAGCCTTAGGATGGAAATTGTAAGCAACTAATAATGAAGAAAAATAGGCATGTTCATTGGGAATGGGTTAGTGAATTTTATAAATTACTAAAAAAGTAAAGTTGAATTGTGTAATAAATTCATATTATGTAAATTTTTTTTATTGGATTCCATTGATCTTGAAAGACTATTTTGTTTTCATACATAGATATTAACCATGAGAGCTGTAGCATCATTATGCTCTAAATCTAATCTACTTCCTATTCTTTACATAAACTTTCTATTCTTTACATATGTATGAAAACAAAATAGTCTTTCAAGACTATTTTGTTTTCATACATAGATATTAACCATGAGAGCTCTAGCATCATTATGCTCTAAATCTAATCTACTTTCTATTCTTTACATACCTTGAAAAGAAGAAAATCGGACGAGTTGAGACCTGGCTGTCATGGTCGCCAGGGAATGACCTGTATGTGCTTTGTCAGTAAAATCCTAATCAAAAGTTGCCTGAACCTTGAAACAATATACAAAGTCTTTAAAAAGACGAAGTTCAGAAAAAGAGTTCAGAATGTTTGAGGTTTCAATTTTTCATCGTTTTTTGAAACTATTGAGGTCTATTCTAAGCAACCTCTATATTTTCTCTGGTGACACTGATGCCATTTATATAATGTTTTATATCTAAGTGTATTAAATAGTATGAAAAATTATTTCAGATTATAAAAATGCAAAATTAAAATCTGAATTCTTCCTAAAAGGTTTTGCGTAATAATTCATATTTATGGGGTTAATTTTTTTCATGTCATTCTAAATTTTTAAGAGACATACTTATCATCCATAGCACAACAGCAGAGTATGGGCCTAGGCTTTCTAAACTAGACATTTTCAATCACCTCTACTAGCAGCCAAACTCCTCCAATTCTTAGTTTCAAGAACTAAACAATCCTCCTCTACAGCATCTATCCATTGAAGTCTAGGTCCTCTTCTTCTTGTGTTACCTAGTCTAGATGAAAAAATTTCTTTTAGTATGTTATTGTCGTTCATACGGATAACATGCCCGGCTTAATTTAATGTAATGAACAACCTTCAGCTTTCTGTTTGAACATTCGGTATAATTCGGTGTTGTGTCTTCTATGCCAGATACCATTTTCCCGAATTTCTCTGAAAATGCTTCTCATTAACCTTGCATTCAAAAGTACCCAAGATCACTTCATCCTTCACGGTCATAGTCCAGGTCTCTGAAGCGTAAGTCAGGACAGGATGGATTAGGAGTAATAGCTTTGTCTTTCCAGATAAAAAGCCAGATCTAAGTAAATGCTTTAATCCATAAAAGGCTTTATTAGGCACAACAATACATTTTTTTATTTTAGGTATATCATTGTTTTTGTTAAACATCAGTCCCAGATAAATGTAACGTGTAACTGTTTCAAATTTATAATCCCTAATTAAGAGATGATATGGGGTGTATTTCCAATAGTACATAGTCATATATTTGATTTTATCGTGGTTAATAATAAGGCCCACTGGTTTAGCGTCCGTTTCAATAGCTTCAAACGCTTTTATTGGATATCTTTAGCTTCTGGCTAGCAGTGCTATGTCATCTGCAAACATACATAATCTGGATATTTTTTTGTGATATAATATATATTAAATTTATTTTCTCAGGAAAAAATACTTAATCTGAAGGTTTTGTATTACAGACAGGGATTTTTTCTATGAAATGTATGTAATAGAATAAAGAATCTTATTTTGCTTTAATTTTTAATTTCTGTTTATTTTTCATACTCTAATAAAGTCTTCCATTAAATTATAATAAAATTGGAAAATATGAAATGTATAACTTTTTCTTTCTTCAATGTGGATGATTTTTGTCCTTCCCCCATCTCATAATTATTTTTAATGTAATTATTGCTGTTTTTCCCTTTAAAATTTCAAATAAAAAGACAAATTCAAAAAGATGATAAAATGCATTTAATTTTCAATTGCCTTAAAATGGAAACCGGCATTTTGTAGACCTTTCCATTTGATACTTACAGAAATGCAGCTAGGGTTTTCAGCACCTGTGGGCAGCTGAAGATTTTGTGCACCCTTCTGTTTGCCAAGAATGTAAAAAATTTCATTTTAAAATTTCCTAACATCAATTTGCCCCCCCCTCCCCGAGTGCTGCGCCTGGAAACAAGCATACCCCCTTACTCCGTCAAGCTTGTCCCTGGGTACTTATGCAACAGAAACTTACAATTTTCTGCATAATGCTGTTTATCTGAAGCTAAAATTAGTTAACACATATTTGTGATTTGGTGATGTCTATATATTAAACAGACTGTGATAGACAGTTTAGCTAATGTTCATTTTCTGAGCATAATAGTAGGCTCATGTGACACATTTCTTCCATTTAAATTTTCTTCTATTAAATTTTATTATTATGTACATAAAAAATTTTCAATGATAATAGAAATGAACATGTTGTTTGCTTTAATTATTTTTGCTAGTTTTGAACTGTTTCACACATTTAGTCCTTTTATTTTTAAGCTAAAAAGAATTTAAAAAAAGTTTGAACTTTTTAAGTTGTTAAAATTAAAGCACCTATTTAGATACAAAAAAGTTTTCTTTTTTATTAATATGTGAATAATTTCTTATTTTTTCCAGCTGATATAGGAAATAAAATGGTAAACCAGTATGAAAAGAAAACAATGTAACTCTTACTTCTTGCAATAAAAAAATTCAGTGGTAAAAATTTTGTATTTTTAATATTAATTATTTATATCTAAATTTCGTAAATGAAACCAGGGCGAACGTTTAACACTGTACTTCATTTTACATCTAGGCAATTTCCTGAATTTAAACCTAATAACATAATTTAATAGGTATAATTAATTAATTTAATTTTATAGTATCAAATATTAAATGCATTACTTTGAAAATTTTGAAAAATATTTACAATGCATAATTTTATTTTTTAAATGAAATGTTCTCTTCTTATTTATCTCTATTTTAGATATATCAATGTTTTAACTTTAAACTGATTATGAAATAGAATGGTATATTTTAATTGAATAATATGAAACTGAAAGGTAAAATTTAGTTTCGTAATGAACGTTTCCTTTGAAAGTATATATATTTGTATTAATTTGTTATTTTACATGAAGTTTCAGATACCTATCAGATGTTGTTTAGCTGAGTTTTATATCGTGCGATAAGAAAATTTAAATCAGTTTGCATTCTTTTGGAATGATGCCTCCAAGCAATGCAAAAACCGCTCAGGAATTCTTGTGTTTTGACACACAAAACTTCCGAGTTTTTCATATTTCAAGGCTGGCAGCTATGATATGTTGAACAGTGCAAATAAAAAATAAAGATTAGAATTTTAAATTCATTGCATTATATCATCAAATATTAATAACTTGTATAATAAAATTAATGTGCTTCTTCAAATAAAATATGTTACAACATATAGTACTTTAGTTGAAAAGTTTATTTACATGTACATAGGGGCAAAATGTCTAAATAATTCAGCATGATTATCATGCTGAATTTTATGAAAATTGAAATTTCATTTGTTTCCACCCAAAAGTGACCACAATGACTGGTATTTCAAGGCTTTTTGAATTCTATTGTATTTTCATAATTTATTTTATGATCAATTGAGTCTGATGAATAATAAAAACTAATAGTTAAAAGAGTGATTGATAATTGAGTTTCTGCTTATTTGATAGTATTAATTTATATAATTTACTTTTCTTAAAAAATTGTTTTTAAACGCAGCTAGACTACACAGCGTCGTTGAAGCGCATATTCTTTTTTTCTTATTACTCATTCATTAAAGCTTTTATTAGGAAATTAATCCATGAATGTAAAATCATCATTATGCCAGGTGGTTTAAGAAAAACCGAACCAGACACGGGAGACTTTTAACTTCTGTGTTCAGTTTACTTTGGGCCACCCAATACATAAATGCCTCTGTATGTACTTCAACATTCTCGCAAATTTGTTTAATGTAAGCTGTGAACTTTCATATTATCATTCTCTGTTGTTATTAATTTTTTCCACCTATAGGTTAAATGTATCAAAACACTTAATTTATACATTTTTACTATTACCTTTAGAATAATAAAAAAAATTATGTGCAGTATAACTGAGCTTAATCATTTTAATTTCATCTGTGTTAACAAAATGCCTTTATTCTAAAAATGGAATTAAATCAATGTTATTTAAATAAATTATTTCAAATTTATTAAAAAGTATTAATTTTTAATTTAAGACTATGTAAATTCATTGTAGCTTACTATGGAAATAAGAGTGCTTTGTTACCTGTCTAGCATTTTATTTCTAAATTATTTATCTTTCAGATCCTGATTCCTTTATATCTCCCACTGGAAATTATGTAGCATATATTGAACAGAAAACGTCAGTGGGCTTTAAAGGAATTTTTCGTTCATGTACTTTTTGTTCATATGGTACATATAACAAGGCTAACATGACAAGACATTTAAGAAGACATACTGGTGAACGTCCTTTTGTTTGCAAGATTTGTGGAAAGAGTTTCACTCAGAAACATAATCTTCTGTCTCATTCATTTTCACACTCAGGACTAAAACCATACGTCTGTAAACTATGTAAGAAAGAATTTCGAACAAGATCTGGTTATAAATTTCATGTTCGAAATCATAATGAAAATTTAATCTCATAATTGTTATTATTCCATCTCAAAGAGAACTCATTCTAAAATAAGAAAGTCTATGATGATCTTCTGAGTTAATATAATTTTTGTTTGTGCGTATTACTTTATCTATTCATCTTTACAAATTTGTTTATAGTTTCATAGTTTTGAACACTATGAAGTATTCAGAGCTTTGAGTACTAATTTTCAGAGCCATAAACAGATCAGAATTTTAATGAGAAGATTATCATTCTGAATCAGAAGATTCTCTGAAGGCATTTTTCACGCACTGAAACATTACATTTTACATTTTTTTTTAAAAGGAAACTGTGTATTAATTAACACTTAACACTTTTTTTAATAAGCAAACTTTCTGCATTGAACTTCAGTTTATATATGCTGGATGTGACACACGAACTATTTTATGCTTTTGTAATTATTATATATGAAAGGATTATTTAAAATAACTTGATTAAAAGTTGAATTAAAAAATCATAAATTTCTTGTCTTTTGTGGGAAAGTAAATAGAATGCTATTTATATTTCACTTCTAAAAAGTGTCTGATATCGCTTCCTTATCCGTTAAGTTAAAATGTATGAAAATTTGGGAAATTTTCTAGTTATATTTTTGAAAATATACATCAGCTTTTTAAACAGGTTTTTTTTATCTGAGATTTTCATCAATTGCCACATACTAAAGCTGCAAATAGAATTTAAAATATGTCTGTAACCTTCACATTTTTATTTATGCATTCTTATTTAATGACCAAATACATTTCCAAAATAATGTTTGGAATTTTTTAACTGCCTGATTCGAAAAAAGCTCTCAGAATATAAAGCATCTGAAATTGTTATATTTTGGGATTACATCTTTGGCTTCATTGAAATCTTGGGGGGGGGGGGATTTCAATCTATTGTTTAATAATGCACCAAGTTGTTTAGTTTTAAAACATGCAACAGAGTTTGTGGAAAGATCTTCACGAAAACATTTGAAATAAACAAATTTTAAGAATTTAAAATTGCAAATTTTATAAGGAAATAAATAGCTACATTAATAATTAACTAGAATTTTATTACACTTACAATAGAATTTTATTACTTTTAATGCTTGTTCATTAATCATGTATAGAATGATTTTATAGGAAGAAGAACTTGATAATTTGGAAAATGTGATTTTTCCTATTGACAGACAGAGTTAATGATAAAATTCCTTCTCTTTTAAAATGTTTACAGATACTTCCGCAGAGGAATTTAAAGTGACAAGTTTCCATACGTAACCTTGTAAGTTAACAGATGTTTTATATGAAGCAATGCTTGTTCATAATTCATTTAATTATCTTAAAAGTACTTAAAAATCATGTAATTAGTGAAAAAGGAAGTGTTGAATAAATTCTTTTGTTGTCTAAATTTTGTCTAAAATTTATCAGACTAATGCATAAAGAATTGTAATTACAGTAATATTTTTTCCTTGCATTTATTATATTAGGGAATCTGAATTTTGTAATATGTGAGGCATTAAAAGAATTTCTCCTGCTCAGTTTTTTTTCTCACATGAATAGCTTATATATGGCTTATATGACATATATACTTTCTGTTTAACAAATAAAAGCTAATATCTGTATTAAGATAATTAGAATTACAAATTCGAAAAATAAGGTAGATATTTTACACAAGCTCTTGTATTCAATTCCTCCTTTTCAGTTATTTTATTCAAGCTTCTAACATAATAGCATAGCTGGGGGGGGGGGAATTAATTAATTTTCTTCAGGCTCATTATTTTAAACAGACTGGTAACTGATGTGAATCTCAGTTGTGTTTTTCTCCATAAGAAAATATGTGAAGAACTATAATTTTAACTGAGATTTGAATAAAATTCTTATTTTTCCCCCTCCATATCTGCTCGCAATTACTTTGATTTTAATACTATATTCAATTTACAAATCGTGATATGTTCAGTTTACATATAACAAATTTGATTATTATTATTTATTCTGAACAGATTAGCTTTTAATAGTATAATTTTTTTTTTCCTGCGATTGTCTTTTTTTTTAATATTCATTTACCTTATATTATTATACTACTATTTTACTGTCTAAAGAAATTACACTTCTTTATTTTTTGTAAATATTCATTTACTTGTGTAATTATGCTATTTTACTGCTTAAAGAAATGGTGCATAATTTAAATGAGAAAGGTTTATGAATTGTTTCACAGAAATAGTTTTAAAATTTCTGTCTTCTCTTTATTAAGAATATCCAAAGACTAATTCTATTATTGTAACTAGTGGTGAGCTATAGGAAGCTCTTGTGAAACCTTTGTTTAATTTATGTTCAATATGCAAGCCCTCCCTTTTTTGAGCTAGAAATTGCAATCAGTAAATACATATATTCCTGTGTAATTAATGGTTTAAATTCATATTACTATTCTGAAAACTTTTTTCCAATGAATGAGGTATAATATCAGAAAAAAAAAAAAAAAAAAAAAAAGGCATTTCGATCAAATTTCTACAGAATTTCTTAATATTGTAACTGCATAGCTCTTTGTTTACAGTTAGCAATAGAGAATTCAATGAAAAACGTAATGAAGTTAATCATTTTGAAATATTTCGTGAGAAAGTATATGCTTTTTATCTTTAGTCCCCCCACAATAAATTATCAAGAATTAAATGAGATTGTTAAAGATCTATGTCAAAATATTAAAAATTAGCCATGTGTTTGGTTCACAGTAGGCAGCAGGTAGTTTATGAACAGCTTTTACTACATCAAGGAACTCAGCTTATTGTTAGCATTTTGCATCAAGTGATAAAATAAGGATTTTTCAAACCGACTCCTAAATTTGAAATTTTTAAGACCTAATCGAAATCCTACAGGAATTATTACATCTCATATATTTCTTAAATTTTAAAATGTTTTCTTGCTCATGCACAATTATTTCTATTTTCTGGAATTGTAAAAGGAAATTAAAATTTGATATTTTGTTTTTATAAAGTGAATAGCATTTACAAAATTTTTGAAGATCTCCCCTGATTGAAACGTACGACAGGATCAAGATTTATTTAACTATCAGTGTAGTTGATGTTTTATAGAACTGTTCATAAAAATGTCAAATGCACAAAATGTTCAAGGATTGTATATAGTAAAACTTCATGATAAAAATTCAAGTGTATAAATTCAACAGTGGCATGAATTATTACAGTGCAAGTAAATGCAAATATTAATAATGACAAATATTAATAATATTTCATGTAAAAGCAGAAAAAGATGATTAATTAATAATTAAAATAAAGTCTAGGAAAATTTATCACATTTTAAATAATATCCCACCTCAGCATATAAGATTCATAAATCTATCTGTGGAAAGATATAATCTTACTTTTATCATTAAAAATCTTAGAATAATACATTTATGACATAGCAATATTTAAATTTTTTTATTATTGCATTTCTTATTGCATGAGGAACTTTAAATGGATCATCTAGAGAAGAATGAAAAATGCAGTCTAAATTTTATAAGCAGCCACTGTGTCTCATAATTGCATTCTATTTGTTTCTCCTTAAAAAAAAAAAAAAAAAAATCATAATTACTGTATATTTCCGAATATAAGTCGAGAGTGCATTTTTTTTCTTCAAAAATTTACTCCAAATTCAAAACCCGTATATAAGCCGAAATAGGGAGGGGGGGAAACCTGTAACGTTCAGGCATGTCACCATGAGGGTAAAAATGCTGCCATGCAGGTAAAATAGATGGAATGTTTTCCAATCAAATCTCTGTAAATTAAAACGTTAGACTGCCAAGACAATATGTTTTAACTCTAGTAACCTTATCTGAAGCTAGCACATGCATCCCCCTTTTTATTATTATTATTATGGCGGGCACTAGCCATTTTCAGGCTTTCACCACTACTAAGGCCAGAAGCGGTGGTCAGTTTTATTATGGAGGCACCTAACAGGCGGCCACCGTTACCTCTTATGAGGGGACAGACAATGTACATCCATGCCTTCTTCGGTATTCGAACCCGGGCCCTTCGAATTTGCAGTCGGCTTCCCTAACCACTGCACCGTTTAGGCGGCTTTGTTCCATTCATTTGTTGTTTTGTATGCAATCCTGTGTTATTATTTGCGGTTTCTCTCTCTCTCTCTCTCTCTTTTTTGTCTCAAAGATAAGCGGGAAGGAAAATTCTTATACAGTAGATTTCAAACTAAAAGATGATCGCTTTTGCTGAAAATTCTAATAACAATATGACTGCTCCGCATTTTTCCGTACATGAAAATGAAGTTCGAGATTGGAGAAATTCGCCAGTATCAGCTCTTTCGTTTTGGCGACGACGCAACAAATCAGGATTATGAAGAATTTCGAAAATAAAAGAACTCCTTTTCATAAACCAAATAACTCATTTTATTTTAAATTAATTTTTTCATAAACTTAAGAAATAAGTACGATATTTAGCTTATAAAGTGACGCAGTCACAGAAGTCAGGTACCAAGGCGATGCCCAGGATATTTAGCGATTTATCGCTTGCATCCGTCTTAACAGAAAAGTACTTACTTTTTTTTGGGGGGGAGGGGGAGAATTGACGAGATTAGCGGATCTGTGTATAAAGCCGACCCCTGGAACTGAGCTTTAGGAAAAGTTCAAAAAATTCTTGGCTTATACACGGAAATATATACATTACTGAAGTATTTCTCTCTGTCCTGATAAGAGGGGGGGGAGAGAAGAAAGCTAGAACATAAAACAGTTTTATGATTTTTTAATTTGTCTGAATTATACTGAAGCCTGTTGTGCCATTTAATTTCTAGCATTATGCCATTTCTTTACAATTTTAACTTT